ATGATAGATTGTGAACAAATTTACGTGTCAGAGTGTAAGATATATTGCAAATAGATCTGAAGTATTTATATTAAAATGCAGTCGGAGCAGGTGGTCGTACGTAGGTAATAAATAGTCATTGTCTTGCGTCTGAACAACTTTATACGAAATAAAATTCAAAGTACAGGGCAAGTCTCTTACAATTTACATTATTCTATGTTAAAAATTAAATGTCGCAGCCTTAAAACATTATATGATATTACATTCTGTTTAATTGTATGCATAAAATCATAGCCTGTTATAATTATTGCTAACTTTATCGAAAATGAGTTTAAAATATTGTAAGTATTGGTTTTCCAACATTTATAAACCTTTCCATTTTGTAGCTGAAGTCAATATGATAATTTGTAATCAAATGTTATTATTATGTGATTAATATGAACAAGCAAAGTTAATTAAAGTTAGAACGCCCGTGAAATTATAATATTAGTGTCCATACGATATAATATCAACTTGACACATAAATTGTGATTATAATATATTAGTTAAATGGCTTCCTCATTATGACGTGAAACGTGAAATTGATAGATTCGTTTGTGAATTAACTCGCAATAACCTTGTGCTTTCATTTTAATCAAAGCAACAAGTTCATCAAAGTCATAATATTAATATTTGGACGAAAATTTTATCCTTTTTTTAAGGATAGAGATATCGTCTAAGTTTATTTTTGTAACATATTTGATATTGTAATGAGATCTAAGAGTATCGTGAATATTCGTATTTCGCGAGTATATAGTGAAACTAAAATTTTTCGGATTATACTTCGCGTATTATATTTAATGTTTATTTTTCAGCAACCATGATCACGGTAACCGACACGTCGGGCGTATGTAGTTTTTTAAAATAATAAAATATTAGTTTCATTTATGCATATTTTAATGATAGCCTCGAATTTACTACTAAAAAATAGTATTAAAAGTTATGAAAAGGTAGATTATAAACTAATGCTAGTTCATAAATTGATTTTATCTGTACAGTCAATAAATTGTGAAGGATTGGTTTGTGAAGACCTTATAAAGTAGGTATCTTGTGAGTTGTGAATACTTTGTACTTGTGTTTCAAGGGGGACGCTGTATTTGTAAGTACTACTTTAGGTCTATTTCAGTATGTGTTCTGACTATTAGTAATATCAATTGAAAACTATCCATACATGAAATATTCCAAAGGGCAATGACCTCGTAATTGAAATATAAAAAATATGGCGATAGAACTGTAATATGATATACTCGAAACACATTGCGATAATAACTTACAAATTATAGGAGAACTAAGCAATTTTAAAAAAAATAATAAATAGAATCAATTATAAAAATAAATATTACTGTAATACCTTAGCTTCCGCACAGATATAGTACGATAATTTCTATTGTACACATTTCCTAGGATTTGTATATGTAGAAAGAGGATGATGAAATGATAAAGAAGGATAGGCCATAGTTAAAGGAATGAAGTTCTTTTAAACTGAATAATAATTTAAATCATTCGACTATCCTGACAATATTATAGTGTCTGGTTCGGTCCAAACTGACCCTCCAGAGTTATGGTAGTTAGTTTTGATCCGACCTGAGGTCCTGCAAAACTTTCGTTAGTAAATTCTCTAGAAGGGCTAGGCCGGAATAATTATTCCCTGTATACATGTACCTTTACTTGATTTCATTTCATACATTTTCAATAACATATATTTATGGCATGTAGTGCTATTATGCAATTTCCTGAGTAATGCCTTAAATTATTCTAATATAATAACGAAGTATTTTAGAATGAACGAATAAAGTTCCATTAAAATATACAGGCAAATTATTTCTAAACAAAAAGTCTTTTCTTGGTTACTTTTTTATTACTAAGAGCAGGTTAGGATATATCAAACGAATTTTCGCAATTTTTCAGGTAAAATTTAGTCATGTTTAATTGAATACAATTTTATAACAGTTAATAATATGAGAGATTAGTGAATTTTAGACGAAGGTAACACAGAATTGTTTGTATAAGTACCAGAAGGTAAAAAGTAATTTTACCTATATTTATAAATGTGGAATTTCAAACATATACCAAAATTAAATGTCAATATGTCGTCTCATATTTAGCGTAGAACTCTAATCTGTCGGGGAAAAGCGGTGGCACCTTAATACTTGAGTATAACTGAACTACTCAGAGAGTTTATGAACGGGTTAGGTAACGACGAACTGCGTACACTATAGGAAAATTTATTTGTTGATTACAAAATACAACATACTTTATATAAGTAACTTTTACTTTATGGGTACTAAATCTGGCTATATAAAAATATAAAGATCTTGTATATTATTAAAAAAATAAAGTTATAACAACGCATCAACATCGGTCTTTAGTTAACATCTGATACAAGCAAAGATAACATTTATTGCAGCTATAAAAACGAAAAAGACAATTGGTTTTATCAAATATAAATTAGGTTTATAATAGAAAGGCTAAATAAATAATAATCTTTGTCCTTTACATAACAAAGGCATAAGGAAATACGAGGTAAATTTAAAGAAACCCGAGATATTTTGCCGCGTTACTAAAATATATCTCCGCTAGCCTCGTGCAGACATTAGCGGATCTAATTCGTGAACAAGCCACATTGGGCTACCTTGCAAACTATGACTTAAAATATACAGGCAAATTATTTCTAAACAAAAAGTCTTTTCTTGGTTACTTTTTTATTACTAAGAGCAGGTTAGGATATATCAAACGAATTTTCGCAATTTTTCAGGTAAAATTTAGTCATGTTTAATTGAATACAATTTTATAACAGTTAATAATATGAGAGATTAGTGAATTTTAGACGAAGGTAACACAGAATTGTTTGTATAAGTACCAGAAGGTAAAAAGTAATTTTACCTATATTTATAAATGTGGAATTTCAAACATATACCAAAATTAAATGTCAATATGTCGTCTCATATTTAGCGTAGAACTCTAATCTGTCGGGGAAAAGCGGTGGCACCTTAATACTTGAGTATAACTGAACTACTCAGAGAGTTTATGAACGGGTTAGGTAACGACGAACTGCGTACACTATAGGAAAATTTATTTGTTGATTACAAAATACAACATACTTTATATAAGTAACTTTTACTTTATGGGTACTAAATCTGGCTATATAAAAATATAAAGATCTTGTATATTATTAAAAAAATAAAGTTATAACAACGCATCAACATCGGTCTTTAGTTAACATCTGATACAAGCAAAGATAACATTTATTGCAGCTATAAAAACGAAAAAGACAATTGGTTTTATCAAATATAAATTAGGTTTATAATAGAAAGGCTAAATAAATAATAATCTTTGTCCTTTACATAACAAAGGCATAAGGAAATACGAGGTAAATTTAAAGAAACCCGAGATATTTTGCCGCGTTACTAAAATATATCTCCGCTAGCCTCGTGCAGACATTAGCGGATCTAATTCGTGAACAAGCCACATTGGGCTACCTTGCAAACTATGACTTAGTAGATGTATGGCAATAAACTTAGTAGATGTATAGCAATGATGTATTGTCAACTCACTAACTGAACGTATTGTATCTAGAACATTTTTCTTGAGGGCCATAACGCTTTCTGTCGGCATAGTTACCACTTATCAAAGTCATGTCACCAATGGATTCCTTATGTTCTAGAATTTTGTCTGATGAAGACGATTTATGAGTCTGAATATTTGTGTTATTTTGGGTGCTGGGCTCGTGCAGACATTAGCGGATCTAATTCGTGAACAAGCCAACTCACATTAGGCTACCTTGCAAACTGTGTACTGGCTCACTAGCACAGCAAGTTTTGGGTTTCTATAATTACAAAACATCGTTTAACATCATTCATTTATGTAATCTTTCCCAATATATTATACGTGTCCATAGAATTTAAAAAAATGTTATATGTTCTTATTTAAAATGACAAAGTAATGTGTTATTTAAATAAAGGAATGCACATACATCACTGTAGGTACTTAAAAGTCGATGTGTCGTAACTTAGAAACTTACAAGTTAAAAGTTTTAAACATAATTTATATTACTTTTACATTTTATATACTGAGTTTAAATAAGTGTGGCATAACATATTTGGTTTCAAAGTCAAAAGTTCGTCTCGGTTTGTCTGTAGAAGTAAATAAGAAATTATTAATTTTTCATGTTCAGTTACTTATAAAATTTTAAGTTATTTATAAGTTATGATAACACTCTATAATATTTACTTATAGTTATCAAATTATAATTTATGGTAATCATAATTTAGATATCAAAATTAAACAACCAATTATATTTATTGGGCTATTTTAAAAATGTGAATTAGAAAATGATTGCAAATATTTAAAGTTAGAATATTGTCATAATCAGTTTTGCGATGGCATTTACTTTGTGTATATGTTTTCAAAATAATTTATTCAAAAATCCAGTGTTTATTACAGGTATACCTTTAATATCGACGATATTTCTCCAGACAATTTCTTTTTTCTTTTCGCCTTCAATGATAATAAGTTATGTGTGAATAGTTTACGTTAAGATAAATAATTGACCAGTTTTTTAGAACTGTTATTGATCTAGATATTTTGTAGGAATAAATCACTAATCAATTTAAATGAAATGAAATTTAAACAAACGTTTTTTGGAAAAAATGCAATTTTTATGGTACACAGACGTTACGTATACCTAAATAAATGCATGTTTATATTTCATACTTTGAGAATTCTTGTCATATATACTACCAAGTACATACTTATGCTTTTAACCTTTTTTTGCTTCTTTGACCAAAGCTATGTATGGTCTAGCTTTTGAATATAATAAATTAATTTCACTATGAAAATTGTTACAATGTCGCCTGTATCTTATAAGGAATTAATTCGGTTAAATTCACTCTATGTTCATTTAAATACGTTTGAATTGGCCTTTCCTCGTCTATGATTTTAATAAAACCCTTTTGTCAAAGTTAGATGCAGGCGTCATAAAGATGTTGAAGTTGTGGCTCGGGCTCGCTCTAACGGCTGATTCATTGGCGTTATTTAGGGGAAGCAATAGTTTTGGGATGAGTCTAAAAAGGCCATCGGAGCTCTATAAACACCTAAGAGTTTCCAAGAGATATATCCTGGGGAAATCCCATGATGACATAGTGACATCGCTCCCAAAAGATGAAGATGCCCCCGAGCTAGAGTCACGACTTCAATTCCATAAGCAATTTATGATAGGAGCGCAAAGTAACAGAGCGGGGTTAGGATCAAATAGGAAAGTCCAAGATGCGGATATATTGAAGTCTTTTATTCGGCAAGACGAGAATGATAAATATAAGATCCATGCAATGAATTTAGAAATGCAGAACGAGTGGTTAGACATAGGAGATTTTTGCATCCCATTAGCATTAAAATGGCGCACTTTAATTTATGATTGGTCGCCAGCATTGCTAAAATTCTATCTCAATGCGTTCCAGATGACTCTCCCAGATCAGAGTAATTTAGTAAGATGGGGTAAAAGTACCGAAAAAACTTGCTATATCTGTGGAAAGGCAGTTGGAACTGCTAAGCATCTGCTGGTGGGATGTAAGGTACTCCTTGACAGCGGTCAATACTCGCGTCGTCACGATAGGGTTCTAGAAGTCATACGTGAAGCGGTTAGTCTTTCGGTAGCCAGAGCGCAAAAGGGAATAACCACAAACGAACGATCAGTAGGTTTTGTGAGAGAAGGCACTAGGGCTGCAAAATCAAACGTCAAGCCTTACTCCATCCTTAAAGCGGCGTCGGATTGGACTATAATGATGGACACGTATGAAAAACAATATAAAATACCCGAGGATATTTGTGCGTCGGCCTCCAGACCGGATATATTTTTGTTTTCGCGAATTTTAAAGCGCGTAGTGATGATAGAGCTTACGGTCCCTTGGGAAACCAACATCCCCAAGGACCATACCATCAAGGTCAACAAATATTACGAGCTCACAAACGAACTCACTCGAAATAGGTTCGTAGTAGATTTGTACGCGGTAGAGGTGGGAGCGAGAGGTATAACAGCGAAATCTCTCTATAACGTACTAAAGGACTTGGGCTTGTCCAGAACTCACATTAATGCATTCTTGGAACGTACATCGAAGGCAGCCCTAGTAGGTTCTTTTCAAATTTGGTTAGGTAGGGAGAGGAGCTTGGACAGTGGAGGTGAGCGTATAACGCGCGTTAGTTAAGGGGCCCCTTAAACCTACACTTGGGTCGCAAGTCCCAGGCACTGTTGAAGCTCCTCCCCCTGCAACGCGATGGACCCGGCACCCGCACGGTGAATCCATGGAATGCTGAGAAGTTTCGTCTGTCTTTCCTTCCTAGTAACACGACATTTTACCACATATATTATTTTTCTTGTAATTGACATTCAGTCTTCATAGTTACGTAAGTCTTAATCATTGTCAATCTTTGTGCCTTTTGTTCTATAATTTTTTTAGTGGCAAGCAAACAAAAGGAAAATTAATATAGCTAATAGCAAAAAAAGAACCCTCCTTATCCCGTCATGTCAGTGAAACTCGCCCCAGTAGTGCGAGCACGGTTCTTTATGTCGACTCTTATCGAGGCATTTATCGACGTTTTTGACATTAGATGTAGATATAACAACATTGGTAGCATGGAACTCAATTTTGTCGAGTTATGTCTACACCTCGATAAGATCGATATAGTCTATCGAATTCTGTCAATTTTAAATTACAATGTCGGCATAGTTCTTATTTTTGACAATTGTCATTGATATATTTTCGTTAAACTTGTCTACACTTTAAAGTTGGTCGATAAAGAAATTCGATATAAAAAGGAAGTGAATTTCAAGGAAAACCTGAAAAATGGACTTTGGGGATATTATTGTTTTGGAGACAGAGGCCGCCAGAAGAGTCCGCGATGAACGAAGAATTCATCGGCGGAATCTCCGAGATCGAAGTAACCCCTTCGATTTAGGAGATGAAGGATTCCGAATATACTTTAGAATAAATAAGGAAATCACCTTCATTTTTAACTCAGTTCAATGGAATGATGAAAATCACACTTAGTGCATAAATGAATAGCCAAATACGAATTCTGTTGGAAGTATTATCAGAAATTACGAATTTTTCATAAAAACCCGAATTACGCTGGTTTTATTTCTTGACTGAATAGCTAATGAGATTTTTCTTAATAAATGAAAAAAAAAACGCATTAACTTTTATCCCCCCCCCTTTTTTTAACATGTAAGGGGAAATTAAAAACAAAACGTATTCTAGTCATCCTTAGTTTTTCTTATGTTATTATTAATAGGTATTATGTTATTTGCTGCTACGAAACCCCTCATGGGCGAGTCCGACTCGCACTTGGCCGGTTTTATTAAGAGACTAGCTTGACACTATCAAGTGCCAACAACATATGGTTAATTAAATTGCTATACACAAAAATTTAATATGGGAGAGAGCTGGCAACATTTATGAATGATGGATGAATGATAAATGAATGAATTATATTATTTAACTGACGTTGCCAATTTTTATATCGATAAAATAAAGCGCTCGACAAGCCTCGATAAACATATCGAAGCGAGTTCCATGCTACCATCCCTCGTTAAAATTCGATAAGTATATCGATTTATCGTCTCGATATGTTTATCGATCAAAGATCCGTGCTCGCACCACAGTTTCAGTAAAACCTCTAATTCTAAACGTATCCAATTATAAATGTATAACCTTAACAAATTAAAAGTTGGGTTGTGAAAAAATGCATGTTTTTATATAATATATGGATATAAAATCTTGTTGTCATACTTTAATTTATAGAATAAATCTAGTTTTACATTTATTCCTAAGAAACAAATAACTTAGGGGAATATATACAAGGAAATCTGTATTATATTTATTTATATGGCAAACCATTCTATCGAGCTGTAAAAATACCTGTGTATTCAGTAAAAAATATAACATTTTTATAATATATAGATTTTATTTACAAATATTATGTTGATAATAGCATACAAAGAGAGAATAAGTACAAAAGGCAATAAATTTTTAAAGTCTGAAATACAAAGCCATATATTATTACCGAAAAGAGAAATATCCAATCAAATACTCGCATTTTCTAATACATACATTTTAATTCACCTAAAATTAATACTACGAACTTCAAAATATCAATTAATTCCTAAATTAATCATTCACTCCTTTTCTGATAAATTATATTCTTAACTTTGGTTCTATTTATAACATATCAGACGTCTATTACTCTGGAATATTCCCATTTTTTCTGAACTTCGAATAAGGGTACTTTTTTACCGTTTCTTTAAAAGTTTTACTTTTTTGTGAATAAAAAATTAATGGGTGTTTACACTGAAACTGGTTTCAAAAGGGACCAATAAGGAAAACAGTAATATCACGTCTGTGAAAAGCGATGTGCGTACGGCTCGCTTGTAGTTAAAGCTAGTAACCTTTGGAGTAGTTTAATTACTACCAGAGGTATCACTAGTACATTGTCGACCTTTAATCCCACGTTATTTTAAGTAGAAGTGACTTTATTTTTACATTTTCAAAGTTGAATTATATTGGAAACAAAAGATTTCTTTTGCGTTTCAATCTTACCGATTCATTGAAAGCATTATTTTGGTATAGAATCAAAGTTCTAATGTAATATACAAACATTTGACAGAAAAAAAATATTACTATAAAATCTCTAATAAAAAGATATAAGATTGATTGGTAAATGAGATGGAACTGGCAAAACATAAAGTGAACCATTTCTTGGTTCTATTTATTTAAGACAGGGGCAAAACTTAAAACAAATACAGGTCATGTAACAAAAAAAAACGGTATATTATATATATATATATATATATATATATATATATATATATATATATATATATATATATATATATATATATATATATATATATATATATATATATATATATATATATATAGTACGTACGAGCAAGTCTTAATCGCATTTTATTTTGAAATAAGGTGATTATTGTTAATGAATCATAGTTTTTATTCAGTCATTCAAAAAACAAAGTAACGTTTGTATTGAAAAATACTTTTAAGCCTTTTAAAAATTAGTCATGAATCTCTAAAAAAAATAAGTTATAATATATTTTCAATAGTCTGAAACGTAGGCACCGTTAAATTCCTGCACTACGTATTGTATGTAATAACTTGTACTTTTTTATATAATAAATCCATCCTGTTATGTGTTCATGACGCTATAAATATATTTATTTTGTTCTGTCATCATTGACCTCATAGTAATGTAATGAAAATGATACGATGGGGCTGGTGTATATTGAAACAAGAAAATTACAAAATAATATAGAGTAATAAAACTTGAGTAAGTAATAAGTATTAATGTAAAGTAATGATCTGGAGACTGTATAAATAAGACTCATATAGAAGGAGTTGACGTTTGTCTATTTAAATAATTGGATCCAAAGTAAACCACTCAGATGTTCAATTTCGTATGTTATGGGACGAAGACGTGCGGCACAATTGAATAATTTGTTAATTTTGCTTCCTCCCTCAAAAACATATAATTTTGTTCTATACTTCATTTATAATAATAACTAAATGTAAAACTTAATTTTCAGATGAATATTGTTCGTCACAACATCGTTTATGACGTAAGTACATTTTTGTATACTTATCGCCTGAAGCCAAATTTTTTCACAGTAAAAATTGCATAGTGCATTTATTCATAGGTTTTCTCGTTAAGGATTTTAGTAGAAGTTTATATTTTAGAAGTAATGAAAACAATTAAGAGAACAACTTTTTATGATCGTTTGGTTTATTTTATGCAAACACAAGAGGAAGAGTTTCATGAGGATTTATGCTATATATGCATTCAACATTTCTTCATGCTTGTCACACTTTTTAATTAAATTTTAATACCTTATCGAATAATTCTTTTGAAAATTAATGAAAAATATTTTTCTGGCCACATTTTCCACAACTGATGTTATTTATTTAATCCACGTATACCATTAAATATTGAACACATTTAATTATCCCTACTAATATTATAAATGCGGAACTAACTCTGTCTATCTGTCTATCTGTTACTCTTTCACGCCTAAACCACTGAACTGATTTAAATAAAATTTGGTACAGAGGTGGAGTTGACGTTGAGAAAGAACATAGGATAGTTTTTATTCCAGACTTTTGAAAGGATACTCTTTTAAAAGCGATATAACCGAACTCCACGCGGGCGAATCTGCGGTCGAAAGCTAGTCTTCATATATTTCTGTCGGAACAAAAATTCTTTCATATCAATTGTTTTTCAGTTATAGTAACGATTTATTGCACAACGCTTTATAATGTTACATTTTATTTTAATATCAACATAACATTTAACTATAAAATTTTAATCTAGTATATATTGTATTAGTTTCGGGGATTCGATGCCATTTCACCAAATTTGTTTGCTAAATAGGACAGCGTATTGAAATTATTTTTCATTTTTCGGGGAAGGTATGTAAGCAAAACATACAAAACTACGGGATTCTAAGAGCTTTGCAGACTTACGGAACGGAATTCGATGAATTACTAGTATTCAGTTAATCTGGTGTATTATTGCCTTTAGTCTTTGTTATTTTTTTATTCTACTAGAGATTTATTGGTTTAAGCGTTTTAACTGAATTTAAAAAGAAAGTCGGCTCATAAAGTTCACATCTGTCGATAGATCTTTTTGTATCCTTTTCCGACATTTACACTATTTTTCATTGAAATATAAATTTAAAAATTCCTTGTTTGTGATTTAGTGAAAATTGGCAATACTATTATAAGGTATGTACATATTTATCTTAATATTATGTGCAAATATTTTTTTTTAATTGTATAAGTTTGTATTTCATAACTAAATTCGCTGTTATGCTCGTCTGTTTTATATATACTAACGTATACATATATACTAACTACTAGTTTGTACTACTAATCCGAAATTTTGCCACTACTGAGATATTTTGCTAAATAAGAATATCACCCACAGCTATATTTTCATATTTTATATCTTAATCAGTATAACATATAAGTATAATGTTAATTTCTTTAAAAAAAATAATAATATCCCTACTAACATTATAAATGCGAAAGTAACTCTGTCTGTCTGCCTGTTTGTTATGCTTTCAGGCCTAAACCACTGAACTGATTTTAATGAAATTTGGTACAGACATGGAGTTAACCTTGAGAAAGAACAT